GAAGGCTTTCTACAAAGCAAAATAAGTCAGACAGAGAAAAACAAATACTCTATGATCTTACTTTATATATGGAACCTAAAAACAAAACAAAACACCACACTCATAGAAAAAGAGATTGGATTTGTGGTTACCAGAAGTGAGGGGTGGAGGGTGAGGGTATCAGATGAAGGTGGTCAAAAGGAACAAACTTCCAGTTATAAGCTAAGTAAGAACTTGGGGGGATGTCATGAATGTGTAACATGATGACTAGTGGCTAACACTGCTGCATGATGTACAGGAAAGTTGTTAAAAGGACAAATCTAAAAGTTCTCATCACAAAGAAAAACCCCTTTTTTCCTCTCTTGTAACTATTTGAGGAAGTGAATGTGATCATGGGAATCAATGTACAACATACATAAATCAAATCATTATGCTGTACACTTTAAACTTCTGCAGTGCTGCATGCCAATTTATCTTAATAAAACCGAAAGGAAAAAAATCTGCTTAACATTTTTTCAGAAAGCGCAGCCACATACTTAAAAGAAAAACTTGAAAATTTTCGGTATCCAGTATTTTTAGTTGTTTTACTTCACATTATTTTTGTGGGCTATCTATTCTGCCATAGTCCTGGAAAAGGAAGTTTCTTTCCATATTTCTTCCAAATCAGCTTCCTCTTAGGGAAAAAGATCTTTGGTAGAATAAGAAATAATACCCGGGGGGGGGGGGGGGGGCAGGGGGAAGCCTAGAAGTTAACGTACCTAGAGAGAAGAATATTGTTTACATCTTGGATTGAGCTAGAAACCCAGGTATGGGGACAGGGGAATGCCTCACTTAGGCTGCACTCTAGGTAGGCCATTTATCTTCTGTAATTTCATTTAAAAAGATTCTATATCTTTGCTGCCCCAATATGAATTCCATTCCAGTATTTATTATATCCAGAGTAATTATATGAGCCAAATGGAAGACCAGTTAAGAAATACACAGGATCATCGAGGAAAAATGATGTTTCTAAATAAGAGAATGAGGGGTCTTGGGTGTCCCAGAAATCTTGGTGTGTTTAATGTCACTATTCTGTGTGCAATGGCACCTTATGATGGATGCAAGCCAGGTCAGACCCACTCTTAGCCAAATGTAATTGTTCCCTAGAAGAAGGATTTGCATGGTGGCTCTTGCAGTTGCTGGTGTGTGATTGTCCCCTAACGACTAAGACACTGCGGTTGCCTGGGTATAGCAGTGAACATGCCTCTCAATTTCCATAGTACACATTTACTTAAACAGCTAGTTCCCCAAACCTGACCCATTGACCTTGCCCAACAGAAACTGCTTCAATTGTAGGAGCCGCAATAGGGTTCTTCAGAACAGTTCTAAACTATCTAATGGAAAACATCTTGGCTGAGGATAGCTTGGGCTTAAATGCTGTTGTGGGACTTTGGGGCCACGTTTTCAACACATGTGGTTCATTGGATCTGCTCCCTTCAATCCTAAGTAGTTTAACCTGTGTGTGTGTGTGTGTGTGTGTGTGTGTGTGTGTGTGTGTGTGCGCGCGCGAGCGCGCACCATGTTCACACCACCTTTCCTCTGTCAGCATTGGCAATAACCTTGGGATGCCATAGAAAGTAATAGGTCTGCTTTGATGTCAGACAGTCTGAGTAAAAATCCCAGTGCTGACTCTTACCACTTATGTGACCTTAGAACATTATTTAACCGGGGCGCCTGGGTGGCTCAGTCGGTTAAGCGTCCGGCTTCGGCTCAGGTCATGATCTCACGGTTCGTGGGTTCGAGCCCCGCATCGGGCTCTGTGCTGACAGCTCACAGCCTGGAGCCTACTTTGGATTCTATGTCTCCCTCTCTCTCTGACCCTCCCCTACTCACGCTGTCTCTCTCTCTCAAAAATAAACATTAAAAAAATTTTTAAAAAAAAGAACATTATTTAACCTCTCCGATCTTAGCTCCCTTAAATGAAAAATGTGGATAATAACGGTCTATATCTCGGGGCGCCTGGGTGGCTCAGTCGGTTAAGCGTCCAACTTTGGCTCAGGTCATGATCTTGCCATTCCCAAGTTTGAGCCCTGTGTCAGGCTCTGTGCTGACAGCTCAGAGCCTGGAGCCTACTTTGGATTCTATGTCTCCCTCTCTCTCTGCCTCTCCCCTGCTCGTGCTCTGCCTCTCTCTCTCTTTCAAAGATAAATAAACATGAAAAATTTTTAAAGAATAATGGTCTATATCTCATATGAGGACTGAGGAAGGTAAAGTGAAGCCTTTAACACATTTTGTAGCACATGTTAAGCACGCGAGAAATGCAGGCGCCTACTTTTATGGATGGTGATAGGAGTAAGGGTAGAACAGCTGTGGAAAAAGTGAGCCAGAGAAAACGCCCCAGGCTCTGGTTTCACTTGACCTAGCACTGTCTGTTTTTCTTCCTCCTAATTGATTTCTTGTGCCAAGCACAGGACATGGCGCTGTCCTGCATCCTGCTCATATCCTGGTCCTGCCATTCATTTGCCATCAAGTGACCTTAGAGAAGCATTGCTTAGAATGGGTCATGAAGCAACACATTTCTTGGCTTGACATACAAAAGTTTATTCTTCACTTAGGCCAGATTGGCTGTGGGTCCAAGGGAGCCACCTTCCTGATGGTACCAGTATAGGCTGCTTACAGCCAGTGTTTCCCAACTGGAAGTCTCCGTGGCAGAGAAAGAAGGTGCCCAGGAAGCCGAGCCCCCTCCTGTGGGTGCGGCCAGTGCTTCCCCTGGCACCCTACAGGCCAGAACGAGTCCCCTTAGCCCTTCCTTCCTGCTGGGCACCGGGATGGAAATGTGGACCGTTGTAATTGACAGGCATTGCTCTTTCTGCCACAGCTGGTTCATAAGCCTCTCTGTGTCTCAACTCCCTTACCTACAAAATAGGAATAATACCTACCAGGGCTGTCATGAGGATTACCGGCACACAGAGAGGACTGATAGTATCTTGATCAGGGTCCTGGCAGGACACACATGGGACATTGGCAAGAATCAGTTGGTCCTATGGGGAGGCGCCTGGGTGGCTTAGTCGGTTAAGCGTCCGACTTTCGCTTGGGTCATGATCTCGCGGTTCGTGGGTTCGAGCCCCGCGTCGGGCTCTGTGCTGACTGCCCGCTCAGAGCCTGGAGCCTGTTTCAGTCTGTGACTCCCTCTCTCGCTGACCCTCCCCTGCTTATGCTGTCTCTCTCTCTCTCTCTCTCCTAGAAATAAATAAAACATTAAAAAAAAAAAAAAAGAATCAGTTGGTCCTAGAAGACAGTCAGTGGTGGGACCAGGTACAGAGTGCAGACAGAGTTAAGGGAACCACTAAGGGATGGCATCTGAGGTTCAGTTTCTTAGAAGCAGGGCAAGCCCAACTTCAAAGCAGAAGGCAAGGGAGGCTGGAGATGCAGCCGTCCTGAAGACTGGGCAGGCCACATCTGAGAGAGGGCTGCGGAGTGGCAAATCGAGAACAACCCACCCAGTACATCATAAACAGTCATTAATCTAAAACACTACATCACCAGTCAGCTGGGCTTGTAAAGGGTTGGTAAGTTACCCCATCCCACATTGTCTGGCTTCAGTCTCTGGTCTTCCTCAGCCCTTCACTGACGCATCTAGTAGGAAGGTGTCCAGAGGCACGGGTATCTGTAACGACTGCCACAGTCACCACACACATGTGTCTTTTGGATGGTACTTGGGTCCAGCGTTTCTCTGGGCATGGACAGAGCCATCGTATCTCCCCTTCACCTCCCTTGGCTTCCTGAGACTCACCTGCAAAGGCTGAGGAATGAATAGGAACCCTAGGAATTCAATCCCCGTGGTTTAGAACCTCACCTCTTCTCTCCTGGACTCTGTAACAGCCTCCTAACTGGCCTCACTGCTCCATGCTCCACGCACTCATTGAAATAGCAGTACTCACTCTTCAAAAAACGCTTAACGTTCCCTCATTCACAAAGAAATAAGCCTATACCCCTGAACCTGTTATTTATTTATTTATTTAGAGAGAGAGCACAAGCAAGTGAGCAGGGAAGGGTATAGGGAGAATGAGAGACAGTCTTAAAGATTTTTCCCCATGTTTATTTTAGAGAGAGAGAGTGCGTGTGTGAGAGAGAGAGCGAGCAGACAAGGGGCAGAGAGAGGACTGAGGATCTGAAGAGGGCTCTGTGCTGACAGCGAGAATGGGGCTCAACCCCACAATCCAAGAGATCATGACCTGAGTCGAAGTCAGACACTCAACCGACTGAACCACCCAGGTGCCCCTAGAGAGAGAGAGAGAGAGAGAGAGAGAGAGAGAGAATATCTTAGGCAGGCTCGATGCTCAGTGTGGGGCATGGCAGTGGGAGGTGGGCGCCTAACACTCAGTGCAGAGCCCGAACCTCAACGTGGAGCCCAATTCCATAACCTGGGGACTGTGATCTGAGCCAAAATCAAGAGTTGACTGAGCACCCCGAACCCCTCAGCTTGTTCACAGCTACCTCACACCACAGCTTCCCCTTAGGACTACTGCCACCACACCTGCATATTCACAATTTCCTACATTTTTCCTTTTGGGGTCTTGGCTCCGGATGGCCCTCCCGTGGCCATGGTCACTTGCTGAGGCACTATTCCTCTTCTAAGGGCCACGACAACACCACCCTTTGTCAAAGTCCCTCTCTTGATCCTCTTTAGAGGAAAAGTCCCTTTTTATGTTCTTGTATGACTGTTGTCCGCCTGATGCTTGTAATTTATGCATGTCTGTCTCCTTTACTAGATTACAAGCGTCTTCAAATCACCTTCGTTCTGCAGCCTTCTCGTGATGTTTGGCATGGCGTTTTGCATGCAGTAGATCCTCTGTATGTACTGGTGGATAGGAGTAAATCCATTTTGAATGGGAACCTGGGTGGCTCAGTCAGTTGAGCGTCGGACTTTGGCTCAGGTCATGATTCCATGGTTCGCAAGTTCGAGCCCAGTGTCGGTCTCTGAGCTCTGTGCTGTCAGCTCCGAGCCTGGAGCCTTCTTCAGATTCTGTGTCTCCCTCTCTCTCTTCTTTCCCTCCTAGTACTCTGTCTTGTTCTCTCTTAAAAATAAATAAAAAACATTAAAAAAAAAAAAAGTAACTCCCATAAAAGCTGGGGAAAGAGAAGGCTCCAGTGATAGTACTCAATTTTTTATTTTTTTGTTTTTAATAATGGTGTCTGTTTTTAAAATTTATTTATGTTTACTTATTTATTATTATTAGTTTTTGGTTTTTAGACAGAGAGAGCAAGCCAGTAAGGGGCAGAGAGAGAAGAGGAGAGAGAAATCCCAATCAGGCTCTGCACTGTCAGGGCAGAGCCCAACGCAGGGCTCAAACCCACAAACGAGAGATCATGACGAGCCAAACCCAAGGGTCAGACACTCAACCAACTGAGTCACCCAGGTGCCCTGACAACCCTTAATATAGATAAATCTCTCGCTTAAAAAAAAAAAAAAATTCCAAAGCCTCAACCTTCTACAACCAGAGGGCTATGATGCCATAGGAGACAGAACTTGAGGTGCAGGGGTTGGCTGGCCAGGCAGCTGGGTCTTTCCCCTGCCCCCCAGGAGAACTGTTAAAAGAATCTGAAGAGGGCCTGTGTGCTGTTTTTGCTCTAGATTCAGCGTTCCAGAAGGTGGGCAACACAGTGTGGTTCTCGGAGTGGCCTGTGCCCGCTCATGTCAAAATCAGCGTGGGGACGGCGACAGAAGGTCCTACTCTCCCTAAGGCGCCTGACAAGATGGCCTCAGGAAGTTTGCATGCGCAGGACTCCCAGCAGGACGGGGTGCGTTGCCAGGATCCTGCTTGCCTCCTGCAAGCCTTGGAGCCAACACTTGTTTTGCAAAAATGCCTTCATCTTTATAACTGAGTTGCCAAGGAGGCTTTGCTTCCCTCCGATACAGTCTGGGAAGCGTGGGCGGCTCCTTGACCCAGCAGGTTCAAAGCGTCAGCCCCTCACCCTGGGCTCTCTCCTGCGCTCTGGGAAGTTGGGGGTCATTTCCTGCCCGCCCCCGCTGGGAGCCAGAACCCGGGGCGAGCGCTCCTCCTCCCCGCCCCCCCCCCCCCCCCCCCCCCCCCCCCCCCCCCCCCCCCCCCCCCCGCAGCCGCTCCGAGGTAATATCCTGTGTTTGCGTAGCGTGTTCCAGCCACGGCTTCCAAAGCCCTCTGCAAACATCAGCTGCTCGTTACTGGGCTTCTCCCTTTTCTCGCAGTGTCAGGGCAAAGGAGACTGTGGAAAGGGCACACTGTTTTGTGGAATGGGAAAATTCAAAACCCCGTTTCGAATACAAAATAGGAGATTAAAAGATGGGAAAGGTCAGAAAACCCAAGCTCCGGCTATCAGAATAAAATTCACTCGGGTTCGAAATAAAAAATGCCCCTTCCTTTAGATTGCAGCCACCTGGCTGCTTTCCTGGGGACATGTCTGTAGGGTGCAACCATGTGACAACACTGGCCGGGGGACTTGCACTGTGTTTGCTAGCCTGATGACATCCCCAAAGACAGGATTCGATTTTGTGTAGAACAGACTCCATGCATTTATGAAGCTGTTATAATTCTGACTCCACTGGTAGGAGTGAAGCATCTACCACTCTTATATCCTTTGACTCACTGATCTTCCTAATAAGCTCTCCATTTTACAGATGAAAAACCATGTCCCCACTGATGAGCCAGATCCCCGAATCCACCCACAACTCTTTCCATGGGGCCATAGGTCTGTATTCTGCTGACTCTGATGGGTCACGTGGAAGGCTTTGCAGCTGCTTCTGCTCCTCAGTCACTTGTTTCCGGGCCCGGGGACACCTACGGGGACTTCTCTGGGCTGCTTTGCCTTCTCCCTTGGCCCTGCCACATTGAGTGTCTTTAAAGATCAAGTCTAGACCTCTGTTCTCTCCCTTCAGCCCTTATTCCCCCTGGGCTCTTCCTAACACAGAAAGTCACCTGGCTCCTATCTCAGACTCCATCTGCCCCGCCCAGCAGGAGAAATCCGGTTAAGGCCAAGCTCAGAAAACCACACGGACCTCCTCAAAGCAGGGGGTCCTGCCTAAACAAGGAAACTCGGCACCACCATCGGCATTTGCCTAATATAACCTCCATCTACCCAACGCTTCATTCCCCCTCTTTCTTTATACACAGCTCACATTCCAGCCAGGTTTCTAGCTCGTAGGAGAGACGCTCCCAACCTTGCTGGTCTGTGAAATAATATCCACTTGCACTGTTTCCCCTCCCCGGAATGCCGTTCCCAGCCCCCATGTCCTCAGCCAAGACCTAGTCTTTCTTCAAAGCTGATTTCGAATGCTACTTCCCTCATGCAGTCTCCCCTGCTGTGCAATCCTACATGCCTCCTTTGAATCCCCAAACACTGTCATTTCTCTTAGACGGTTCCTCTTATACTGTCCTGTAGCATAATGCTTGTCGTCGTATCCAAATAACGCTTGCACTGCAAATTCCTGAAAACAGGTCTGTGCCTCCGTTCTTTCTGGCTCTTCCACAGTACAGACTGTGGTACCTGACACGTAATAGATGTCAAATAAATGTTTGCTGATTATCGCATGGATGAATGTTTGCATTACTCACCACTCAAATATCTGTTGAAACTGGTTTGCTAACCATCCCCGATCCACGTTCTACTTCTCCAGCTGCGACTTCACCTAAACTCCAGGCTTATATTCCAGATGCCGCGAAGAATGCATCTGGTAGTGCCTTACCCTCACCTGAAACACAGCAAGTCAAAAACCAAACTAACTGACCATTTCCGTCCCCCCCACCCCTCAGCCCCGGGCCCCAGTTTCAATTACTTTTCTCTTTTGCGTCACAAATCCTTTATGAGAGTTAGTTCATATGGGGTTGATGGGCGTCAGAAACTTGACCTGGTAGCCAAATTCCCAGCACCTAACAGCCGCGGATTAATTGGTATCACAAAATTATAGGATGTGAGCACTCAAAGCAACCTAAGTCCGACCCCTTCATCACAGATGAAGAAACCAAACCCCCAAAGGGATTTGCAAGAACCAGAAGCAGGATTACCACAAGACTCCAGTCTTCTCGCTTTTGGCCTAGGTCGCTGTGCTCATTACATACGTCATGACCTTCCTGAGCTCTTCTGTTTCTCCTGGTGCTTCAGGTGGTTATTTTTCAAGTGGCTGCATGTTTCAGCAGCTCCTCGTCTCTGAATCCCACAGAGCGATATTTGACAGCACAGGCCTTTAGAATCTGTGGCACAGGGCTTAGACAAAGCTGTCTCCTTTCCCAGCACGGTCTGCTATACTGCAAAGCTCATTAACTCTGCCCCAGTGTCTGGTGAGCCTCCAGAAACTTCCTAGCAGTTAGCTGGTAGGAACTTTCCATTACTAACCCAGAGGCAAATTCAGATTTCTCTTCATTTTATCTAACATCCCCATACAAAGCTAAAGATAACCCAGGATACTTTAGGGCTTTGAATAGTCAATCAATTCAAAAAGAGTTCTTTAGAACATGATTAGAAATGGCCAAAAGTCCATGGAACACAGTTTGCACCAGACAATATGCAACTTGGACTGAATCATCTAAACTCACAGGCAGCCTCAGAGTGACACTGATTAGAAATTACTCATGTACATCTGGTCTGCTGCGCTAACGGGGGCCAGAGAGTTCTTTCAGCTGGTCTTTCTCTCCCAGGCAAGAAGACGAGAGAGAAACACCATTTCGGAGCACCAGCTACGCACTTTACATATGCGATCTCATTGGATTTTGTCTTCTCAGTAACCCCGTGTGGTAGTGTCCTCATTTTACAAATAAAAGAACTGACACATTAAAAGGTACAGTCATTTCTCAGCTGATGTAACCAGAAACAGAGACAGCCTTCAAGCCCAGCTCTGTCTTGCCTCCAAAGACTAAGCTTTTTCTGTTTCACTGGTGGCTTCCTTCCTCCCTCCCTCCCTTTTCTTCCGTCTTTGGAAGCCATATATTTTTTTTTTCAACTGAAATGATACACACAAACCCAAATACATAAAGCATGTAAAAGCAGAGATGCGTTGTTTTATTTACAATTGACAAAAACTGGAAACACCCCAAATGACAATCAACAGGTGAATAAAGAAGCAAACTGTGGTACATCCATTCAAGGAATGTAACTCAGCGATAAAAAGTAAATGAAGTACTGATATGCACAGATCATTGGTTAATCTCAAAATAATTATGCTGAGTGAAAGAAGCCAGACGCAAAAGAGGCTATACTGTATGATTCCACTTAGATGGAAATTTAGAAAAAGCAGAATGAATCTCCAAAGACAGAAACCCTATCAGTGGTTTCCTGGGGCGGGGCTAGAGTGCTTACTGCAAAGTGGCTGAGGGAATGTTGGTCCATTTTGGGGAAAATGGAATGGTTCTGTATGTTGATTGTGGTGGTAATGTACATATCTGTTAAAACTCATCAGACTTCACACTTAAAATGGTACAGTTTGTCATGTGTAAATTATACCCAGTAATGCTGATTTATCTTTCCTATTGTCTTTCTTTAAAAAAATTTTAATGTTTATTCATTTCTGAGAGAGAGAGAGAGAATGAGCAGGGGAAGAGCAGAGAGAGAGAAGGGAGACAAAGAATCTGAAACAGGCTCCAGGTTCTGAGCTGTCAGCATAGAGCCTGATGTGGGGCTTGAATTCACGAACGGTGAGATCATGACCTGAGCTGAAGTCAGATGCTTAAATGACTGAGCCACCCAGGCGCCCTATCATTTGTCTTTTTAAAAGCAGAATTGCTGGAGGGTCTGGGGGGCTCACTTGGTTAAGTGTCTGACTCTTGGTTTTGGCTCAGGTCATGATCTCATGGTTGGTGGGTTTGAGCCCTGCGTTGGGATCTATCCTGAGAGTGCAGAACCTGCATTGGGATTCTCTCTCTTTCCTCTGCCCCTCCCCAACTCACACAGACTGTCTCTTTCAAAATAAATAAATAAACTTAAAAAAAAAAAATAAAAGCAGAATTGCTTTAATTGAGGAAGCGATACCTCAATCCTCCCCACCCCTCCACCCCCTTAGTGACCCTGTGACCTTCCAAAGGGGCCCTGGGAGTGCTCTCTGGAAATTTACACCTTCAGAAAGCTGTCTGACCACATTATGCTGCCTCGCACGATCATAAGTATTGCCAGGCAGTCCAGGCTTTGTAAATAGCATAAGATCAGCTCATTTTTGAGAAAATCACTTCGGCATTCTTACTGAGGACTGGCTGCATAGTTCCAACTAAATTAGTCACAAGACTTACCTTTGGCAAAGGAAGGCTCCCAGTCCAGTTATATTCTCTGTGCTGTGAAAAGAATAATGCAGAATTCGGAGTTAATAGAGGAAACTGAGGAATGTTACAAGCATGAATGTGTGTATATGTGTGTGGTGTGTGTATGTGTGTGATAGAGATAAATTTGCTTCACACCACTTAGATGCAGAAAATATTGTTTTATTTTCCTAACTCAAATTACATCCGTCTCCCAGTCTCCACTGATCAGAATGATAGGATACACAGTGTCCACCACTTTTACTATCTCAAGGCCATGCAGGAGTCCTGGGGTGTTTATCAGTCCAGAGAATTTGAGGAAGTAGCTCTGCCCTTGAGTCTACCCAGCCACGTGTCCAGTGCCCAGCCTCAAACTGTCCATTTCAAAGGTTGGTGGCTTTGATGCCCAGCTGGGGCAGGAGGCCTGTACCAGGCCCCCAAATGGACACATCTAGTATTCTGCCATCTTGAAATCAGGCCCCCATGGAATGCTGGGTGCAGGAGGGCTTGGTCACTGCTACCTCCAGTGACCTCAGTGCTCCTCTCTTCTCTCAGAGTGGAGGAGTCTCCCTTCCCCCATTTCCCACCCTTCCTCCCTCCCTCCCCACCCGCTCCCACCAGACTCTCTCCTCTGTTCCCTGGAAACTTCCTCCTCCATAGGAGCTGGTAAAGGAGGCTTTTGTGCTCTTCCTTAGTGAATCCACAGTAGGAAAAGAAAGCTGAGACAGGAATTCGTTTCTTTATTAGTAACTGTGTATGCGAGTTTGCATTTATATTTAGGTAAAATAAGTTAAAAAAAAAAAAAACAAAATTCAATCAAGTACCTTTGAAGATCTAATTGGCTTTTTCAAGAGACTCATGGGTGGGGCAACACCCTACCTAGCAAGTAGAAGGCAGCTCCTGAGGCTACTAAATGGAAGGTTTTTTATAGGAAGGAGGGTGGCGCAAGGAGGTCTTAAGCAAAAGGAAAAAAAGGTTTTAGGCAAGCTCCCTCTCCCCTAGGGGAAACAACACGGGGAGGTATCACGCACCTCATCTCCTTTTGGGGGACGGAGAAGGCGCATGTGACAGATGACCTCACTGATGCCAACCAGAAAATTCCTGACCGCGTTCCTGGAGGAGTTTAAAAGTGCAATTAGGTTCGCTAGGAAGCTCTGGTTTGGTGGCTTGATCTAAGTGATGCTGAGAGAGGACTTTAACTGCCTCCATCTTGACCTCAGTCAGTTCTTCGTAACTGATTAAGTTCTTTCCAGCTTATCTCTTAAGTCAGGCAAAGGACCCTGCGGGCGAAGCATCCCGTGATGGGGACTAAACTACCCCTCAAGCAACAAGGACTGCTGGAGCCAGCAAGCCCCACGTGACTGACCCCGGGGCAAGGACCAACTCACGTGGCCTTCACTGCCCACCTGCACGTACCCACTAACATTTGTCCCACATTTTCTTTATATAAACCTGGAAGTATTTTCAGCACTTGGGAGACAATCTCTGAGACCCTAGTCTACTGTCTTTCAGGTGTTGGCCTCATAGAGATGCATTCCCTTCTGGCCTCACCACCAACCGTCTGTTTGCCTTTGGTGAGTGAGTGGCCGAACCTTCTGTTTGGGACCATCCCCCTCTCCCCTCTCCCCAAGCCAGGTGTTCCTGCACCGTTGGGCCCTGGTTATGATGCCATCCTGAGCCTGTGATTTTCTTTCTAACAGATCCACGAGGTAAAGAATCAGGTTGGTCTCATTCACAGCTGTATCCCCTGCACTCGGCCTGACACAGTATAGGTGACTGGATATTCCTGAATGAATGAGCGAATAGGGTTGAAAAAACAGAACCTACAGGCCAAGATGGAGTCACCGGCCCCCAGGACAGCACACCAAGACCTAACCGCACTTTCAGCTTCTCCAGGAGTGGAACTTTAAACCAATCGATTTGGAATTTTCTGGTCAGTATCGATGAGGTAATCTCACATGGGCTCTCTCCAGCCCCCAAAGGAAAATGAGGTCATCCACCTAAGACCCCCTCTTCCTTTCCCTTAGGGGAAGATACTTTGCCCGAAACGATCCTTTCTTTTATTTTGCTATTAACTCTTTGCCCCACCTTCTTTCCCATAAAAACCTTCTATTTTGTACAAGCCTCAAGAGCTCCCCTCCACTTGCTGTATGGGATGCTGCCTGATTCGTGAATCACTGGAAAAAGCCAAATAGATCTGCAAATGTACTTGGCTGAACTTTATTTTTTAACAATAGGAAATGGCCAGAAGGACACACACCGCACTAGAATGGTTTATGTTTGGGAAATGGAGTTCTACGGAGCGCTATCATTCCCACTCATACATCTTGTATTGTTTGCATTGCGTAAAATCATGTCCAGTGACTGTCACGTTTACGTAGTTTGTATTAGTAAGCTTTTCAGAGCAAGTAAGAAACAGGTGTAAGGCTTTATTTTGATGGTGTTCCGAGAGGGCAGCACTTTCGCAGCCATGGTTAGCATTCGATAGCATTACCCTGTGGAGTGAGAAAAATGTTGATGATTGTACTCGGCCAGATTCAGAAAGGTCATAACATCACTGGACATGTGACTCTCAGCTGAGTGGGTGACTGGTTTCTCAGAACATGACAATCTTTTCTGAATTTAATGAGACAACTTCTTTAAGCATTTTGTCAGGAACAAATGATATTCCCAGGAGATACAAAGTCCATCAATATGAACTATTCCAGACCAGGTTGAGAACAATTAATTGTTCTTTTACATTGTGAGTATTTAGAGGCCTGTGAGAGTCAGGAGGAGAAAGAAAAATAATAGGTGAACTAAAATCCTCACAAATCCAGGGAGCCTCCCAGTAGGCTAAGGTGCTTAGTCATGAAGCATTTTATTTTGCTCAGGAGACTACTGTTGGGGAAGATCTTTGGTTTCTCTGAAACCCCCAGAGCAAAACACTGCTGGAGAACCAGGAACAGAGCTTCAGCTAATCGGATGTAGAAGGACACAGAGTGGTAGCTCTCCGCCCTCCACCCCCATACTCCACCCCCATACTCACTGGAATTACCGAGGAACCTTCTCAGTGTATCAGAACTCTAGCTCAGACCAGTAAAATCAGGATCTCTGGGTGAGTCCAACAGCCTATATATTTTTAACATCAGTGGTTTTCCAACTCCGGCATGTGCCAAATCATCTGTAGGGCCATTCAAACAGGGGGTTCCCTGGGTGGCTCAGTCAGTTAAGCATCCAACTTCGGCTCAGGTCATGGTCTCACGGTTCATGAGTTGGAGTCTCGCGTCGGGCTCTGTGCCGACAGCTTACGGACTGGAGCCTCCTTCGGATTGTGTGTCTCCTTCTCTCTCTCTGCCCTTCCTCCGCTCACACTCTTTCTCTCAAAAATAAATATGAAAAACAAAACAAACAAAACACGGTTTGCTGGGCCACTCCCAGGGTTTCTGATTCGTAGGTCCAGGGTGGACCCTGAGAATTGAAAGTCTAATAACCTTTGCAGGTGATGCTGAATAGAAGATTCTAACAGTCACGCAAAGTCAAGAACTGGCATGGAGCGTCCTTCTCTACTTGGGTTTCCACAAAGTGTCATCTTGACACTTGTTAAAACAGTAGACCCTGACATAACTAAATCGAGACGGGTCAGGACATTATTTGCTTATACCACAAGGAATCTTTACTGAAGTTGAACATAGGATGTTTACTGAGAGACAGAGGCACAGACAGGGGAGGAGAGTGTGGTCTAGATGGAATTAGGGGAGGCGAGGGCAAGTGGGTGTGTTTGTGGGCCATAGGCCATATGGCCAGCCCAAAGGGAAACTTGAAGCTTCGGTAAATTCACCAAATGAGCTGAGATTCTTTGATGTTCCCCATCATTTTGAGAGCGGTGATTATGGCGGAGCAAGCAGGGCCAGGACAAGGGGAGGTGGGCAAGGCTCCTGTCTTAGGCTCAAAACTGAACAGAGTGCCAACAAAAAAAATAATTTATACAAATAATTATCTTTAAATTTTTAAGTAATTATAGACTCACAGGAAGTTCCAAACAATGGTATTCCCCCAAGGTTGACATATAACTATACTACAATCACAAAACCAGGAAAATGACACCAAAATGATGAGGTTTTGGGGTAATGATGGGATTCTGAGCCAAAGGCCAAGAAAGAATTCTTGAAAACATCTTTGGTGCAAAAATGTGATTTCATTTTTTTAAAAAATTTTTTAAACTTTTTTTTTTTTTTGAGAGAGAGACAGAGCACAGGTGGAGGGGGGGCAGAGATAGAGGGAGACACAGAATCTGAAGCAGGCTCCAAATTCTGAGCTGTTGACACAGAGCCCGACACGGGGCGTGAACTCATGAACCATGAGATCATGACCTGAGCCGAAGTCAGATGCTCAACTGACTGAGCCACCCAGGTGTCCCAAAAATGGTGATTTTATTAAAGCACAGGGACAGGACTTGTGGGCAGAAAGAGCTGCATTGGGGTTGTGAAGAGCGATGCTTCTCCATTGCATAGTTGGGGGAGGTAAAATCAAGAGAAAGTTTCTTTTTTTTAAATGTTTATTTCTGAGAGAGAGACAGAGACAGAACACGAGCGGGAGAGGAGCAGAGAGAGAGGGAGACACAGAATCCAAAGCAGGCTCCAGGCTGAGCTGTCAGCACAGAGCCTGACGCGGGGCTCGAACTCACGAACAGCAAGATCATGACCTCAGTCAAAGTTGGAAGCTTTAACTGGCTGAGCCACCCAGGCGCCCCAAGAGAAAGTTTCTTAAAGGGATTTCCACATGCTAAAGAGGGTTTACAGATGACTAGAAGCCTAGCTATTGTCCAGCTAAAGTTTTTTCTTCTAACAAAGCATTATCATTAAGATAGTAAGGAGTTCCTGGAGATCAGGCTATTGATGAGGTTATTTGTAAACTGATGGAGACTCTACCAGATTGAGTCTATCAGACTCTAATCATTTGTTTTCTGTCCTTTCCTCTGTTCTTGGGCAGCCAGGAGTGCCTGAGGGATGTCACACATATTTCACCCTGGGAGGGGGACCAGTTTTGCTAGCTTGTGCTTGGCCCTCATCTTGCCTTATGGTCCCTCATCAAAAACATTACTGCTGACTAGACTACAGATACCACTTTTAGCCTATATTCACGTGTGTGTGTTTGTATATAGCTGAATGCAATTTAAGATGAGTAATATATTTATTTTTAATTTTTGAGAGAGTGTGTGTGTCTAAGCCAGGGAGGGAGAGGGGGAGAGAGAAGGAGAGAGAATCTCAAGCAAGCTCCACACTGTCGGTGCAGAGGCCACTGTGGGGCTTGAACTCACAGACTGCGAGATCATGACCAGCACCAAAACCAAGAGTCTGACGCTTAACCCACTGAGCCACCCAGGCGCCCCATTAGGGGAGTACATTTTATTGCAATAATTCTCAAGCTCAAAATCAATGAAAAACATCCATGAATGGGCAAAATATCAAAATTTTCTATAAAGACAGGATCAGTAAAAGCTCTGCTAACCACATTGAGCCTTGGGGCAAAAGGAAAAATTAGTAACATTTTGTTTATCATGGATTTTTTCCATTAATTTTTGTTTTTTTAACCAATTGCACTAAAAGATTTATCTCACCCGCTGAGTTTTGGGGGCCCCCGGAGATCTTGTGTTCGAGGCGAGTGCCTCTCACTGCTGCCCAGCCCTTGGGAGCAGGGTGCACAATGCCCCATGAGCCGCGCAGGGCTTGCTGAACACGGGAGAGGTGGAGACGAGCCTCCCTGCTGCTCTCCTCTACCTCCATCTGCTCTGCTTTGGGGGCTGAGCCGGGTGGCGCTGGCACTTTGATTCAGCACTAATTACGTGCTGCAGGGCACAGGGCTTGCTTCTTGAGGCCAGACGGATCTCAGCAGTCAGCTGCCCTGGCTCGTCCCTCTAACCTCCCGGCCACCCCCGGAAGGGAGCACAGCCCTGCACCCAGCTAAGCCAACCCTATCCCCTCGCCTCTCCTCCGCCCTCCTCTTCCCTGCTGGTAACCGAAATCACAGACCCTCCCCTAAGAGCAGGCTCCCTGTCCTCGGTAGCATGGGGGTGGGAGTGCAGAGGGTGGTCTTCACTTTGAGCGAAGGCTGAAGCGTGTAACCAACGTGTAGGGCCGAGCATTCTCATTTCTGAGAACCTACAGTGACCCGAGAGCTGTCTTTTCTCTAAGTTGTCAGCAGAGAAGTCAGGGGTCTGCCCAATTTCCCCTCCTAGGCCAAGGACAGTTACCCTCAGAGAATACATTTAAAAGGATAATTGGAAGAGAAAACCAAGGTTTTTTTGGAGCACATCCCATGTGCCAGCAGTTAACAAAAGGTTTCAATGTGATGGTGTTAAGAGCTAAATACTGAAGAAGAAGTACAGTAAAAAGTAGTTCTCAGGGCGCCTGGGTGGCTCAGTTGGCTAAGGGCCCATCTCTGGTTTTGGTTCAGGTCACCATCTTGAAGTTTCATGAGTTCGAGCCCTGAGCGGGGCCCTGCGCTGACTGCTTGGGATTCTCTTTCTTCCTCTCTCTCTGCCCCTTCCCACTCGTGCTGTCTCAAAATAAATTAAACTTTAAAAAAAAAAAAACAGTTCTCAGTCATCATAAGGCACTTACGGAGTGTTTGGTGTGGGCAAAGCACTATCCTGGCACTACAAATCTTTATATCCTGTAGTCTGTGACCCGCGGGGCTGGCACCCTAAAGAAGGCAGGCCAGCACCAACAGGGTTAGCTCTGACGCCGGCTTGACCCGGACAGCTGTCCGTCAGGGGTCACACCTGCTGCTGAGGAAAGCGCTGGAGGCAAGTTTGTGCTCTCACAGGGCGTAGAGTGCAGCAGGGAAAGGGCTCATGCTTCTGTCGCCTGTTTATTGGGACACAACTGATTTTTAAATCCAAATGACACAGAACATGGGGAGGAATCACAAGGGGGAAGAACTGAAGCCCACAGAGTCACGGGCTTCCCACGAGAGTGGGAACCAACACTCATCCAGTAGAAGCCAATTCTCCAGTCATCTTGGCCTGACCCCACCGCGCCACTCTCTCCAGAGCCCCTCCTCTTCCGAAGGCGTCCCTCCTACGCTGACGCCCCAGTCCAACACGAGAGGATGGGAGCAGGCCACCCCCAGAAGTGTCAGTGAATTAAAAAGGAATCTAAAAGCAGTTCGAACAAGTGCTATCTGAGAACCCCAGATGGTCCGTTGTGGAAATGGCTCACTGGAGATTTAGAGAAGGAACATCAATTGTATTGAACTCCGTAAGAAAAAGAGAAAGAGCTGGAGAGATGGGTCAGCCCAAAGTCCTCGAAAAGGAGGGTAAAGGGGCGCCTGGGTGGCTCAGTCAGTTAAGCGTCCGACTTCAGCTCAGGTCATGCTCTCACAGTTTGTAGGTTCGAGCCCCGCGTCGGGCTCTGTGCTGACAGCTCAGATCCTGAAGCCTGTCTTCCGATTCTGTGTCTCCCTCTCTCTCTGACCCTCCCCTGCTCATGCTGTCTCTCTCTCTCCTTCAAATTAAAAAAAAAAAAAAACAACCATTAAAAAGAAAAGGAGGGTAAAGCCCAGCTCTGTGCATGGAGAAGGTGCCATAATCAGCCACCGTGAGGAACGTGGCGGCTTTGGCAGGTAGAACCACATGATGAAGCTCACCAGCTGGGCTTCTGGAACAGAAACCACAGGCCATTTACACCAGACAGATTCACCTTGCCCTGTGTATTAGTTTCCTGTGGCTGCCGTAATAAACGGCCACAGACTAGGTGGCTTAACAATGCACTGTCTCTCAGCTCTAGGGGCTGGAAGTCAGAAATCCTAGTGTTAGCAGGGCCATTCTTCTGCCAGGGGAGGCTCCTTCCTTTCTCTTCCAGCTTCCGGTGGTTCCGGGTATTCCCTGGCTTGTAGCTGCGTCCCTCCATCTGTCTCTGATTCTCTTCCGTCTCTCTGTGTGACCTCTCCTCTTCTTACCAAGACACAAACTGGAGGGGGCGCCTCGTGGCTCAGTAGGTTAAGCAGCCAAGTTAGGCTAAGGTCATGATCTCACAGTGTGTGGGTTTGAGCCCTGCGTCAGGTCCCAACAGCTTAGAGCCTCGAGCCTGCTTCGGATTCTGTGTCTCCCTCTCTCTCTCTCTGCCCTTACCCTTCTTGTGTGTGCTCTCCCTCCCTCTCCCTCTCTCTTTCTCAAAAATAAATAAACTTAAAAAAAAAAAAACACAAACTTTGGATTTAGGGCCTATTCTAAATCCAGTATGGCCTCATTTTAACTTAACTGATCACATCTGCAAAGACCCCTTTTCCCAACAAGGTCACGTCCTGAGGTTTGGGGCAGACAGGAATTTATTTACCCTGATTACACATTCACAGGACAACTTTCTGATTTTGTTTTCTAGAACTGACCACATTGGTCTACCAGATGGGAGTTACGTTTCCTGATACAAAAATTAAGTCCCATCCTGGCTTTATTCTCTAGATGCATTTTACCCCAGATTCTCTGGAGTTTCTCAGATGGAAACGTCTACCCACTGCATACATTTATTACCCTGGTGCCATTAACAAGAGCCTCCTGAAGACAAGTACAATGTGTATCCTAGCACCGAGCTCAGCACCAGGTACGTAATAATTGCTCAACGACTTTGTGGAATAAATAAGTTACAATAGTTAAGATTTTGGGGGTGCCTGGGTGACTCAGTCGGTTAAGCGACTGACTTGATTTCAGCTCAGGTCATGATCTTGCAGTTCGTGGGTTCAAGCCCCGCACTGGGCTCTGTGCTCACAGCATGGAGTCTGCTTCGGATCCTCTGTCTCTCTCTGTCTGCATCTCCCCCATTCATGCTCTCTCTCTCTCTCAAAAAATAAATGTTAAAAAAAAATAATAGTTAACATTTTTTCTGAGCACTGTGTTCAAAGGTAACACACACAAATGGCCAGGTTTGACGATAACAGCAGCACTTTGACATAAGTATTCATTTCCAAATCATTCTGAAAACAGGGACACTAAACTTACAGTGCTGAAGGTCTTTGCCAGCAGAGTTCAAGTCTCAAGTCCAGGAGTGACTAGGCTAGTATAGGACAACCGCTCTCAGCCTAAGCAATTCTGCTCACACAGACAGAATTCATTACTAAAACAGAGGGCTGAAGTCAGAGCCCTTGACCTTGGGGATCCCACAGACAGCATCGGTAGAGACCAAGCTCTGTTTAATTTCCCCAAAACTACTACACCACTTTCTGAGGCTGAGTTGGCTAGGAACATTCTTTGAATTTCCTTCCCCTCAACGTTTCTTTGTAGATTCTCTTCAATTTACCTTTTCTTTTTCCACAAGAAAAAAATCCTTTAATACCTCCTCAATCTTGCTCCATTGAACTACCCCTTTTCCCCCCACCTTGTTTCTCCCTCCCCGCCAGCCCAAAAACATGCTCAAATCTTCCCACCCTAAAAAAAACTCTTTCCTTGATTCTGCTCCTCTCTCAAGATGCTATTGCGTTTTCACTTTTCCTGACAAGAGAGGGTCTGTAGCTGCTGTGAAAGCAGGAGGCAGCTGGGTCTGAGACATCATCTGTGTGGTGGGAGAAGGGACCCAGCAAAAGGAGCCCAGAGAGGGAATACCCAGAGGGAGAGAACATTCATTAACCCCCTTCTGGCTCCACCCATATTTGGCTTTGACCCTGACCTCTTTTTATATTCTTCCTCAGTGTATCAACGGCATCCTAGAAGGTAACATTTACCACCCACTCACTCCTTTGGAGTCTGGCCTCTGCCCACACCATCTTTCACTGGTGTCATTAGTAGTCTCCTAACATCAGCACAGGCTTGTTGGAGCCATTATGCTGTACTGCTTCTCCAAGTAATTCGTGGTTTGGTAGGGAAGAGACACTGCATCGGCTGGGAGTTCACCTCATTGCAAGTCACAGAGTATTCAACCGAACGGTGTCTTCACTGTAGGAACATTTCATATTTTCTCAACAAGTCCAGAGGCAGACTGTTTAGGGTTTGCTTAGCAGTTCAGCAATGCCATCAAGGACCCAGGCACTTTCAAGCATCTTCAATATATTGATGTTTTGTTCTCATGCTTGTTTGCTACTAGTCATAAGATGGCTGCAGTTGCTCCAAGTATCATCCTCTCATACTGTATTCAAAACCAGGAAGCAGCAAGGAAGGAAGTTAGCAGAAAAAGAATGTTCCTTTCACCAGGAAGAAAAACATCTTCATTCGCCAGAACTAAGACATGGCTACTGGTCTCAGCTTTACTTTTTGCTCTGGCCTCTAAACATGACCATTTCTCTGACTCCTTCAGACAAACTCAAAAGGTCTTCTGTATCCACTACATCTCTTGTGTACCTTGATTACAGAACTTAATGCTTTCCTATCGTTGTTGAAGTGCCCTTCTTCCTCTATAAACCTCACCTTCCTTCCCCAATACCTCATACATATTTATCCCATATATTTTTCAATGAAGGAGTGAATGAAGGAAGGAAGGAAGGAGGGAGGGAGGGAGGGAGGAAGGGAGGAAGGAAGGAAGGAAGGAAGGAAGGAAGGAAGGAAGGAAGGAAGGAAGGAAGGAAAACTCTACTCAAGTCCTGGTCTTTTCCTTTTCTGTCCATACTTCTTCTGCTGGTGATGTCAGCCACAGCGTCAGCCCTGATGTGTCTACCAGGCAGAGGTCCTGCATTTTCAACTCCTGCTGGGCCTGGGAATCTCGAATCCAACACACATAAGACGGAACTTGGCATTTTCCACCAAAAATAAATGTTCTGAAATGGGGATAATATTTTTGGAAATACGTCAGTTGCTCTTCTCTATTACAATCCTGTGTGTGGTTTCAGAGCATCCGTTTGCCTCTGGGAAGGTTAGGATCGTTGTAGCAGGAATGTAAAGAGGAGAATAATATTCAATTCTCCTTATCTAGAGCAGACTCGCAAAACCAATTGTTTATTATGGAAAATTCCAAACATCTGCAAAAGTAAACAGATGAGTATAGTGAATTCTTTGTGTACCTCTCACCCAGCTTCAAGTTATCAACCCGTGATTAATCATGTTTCCACTATACCCCACCCACAGTCCCCCCCAAAATTATTAAATATCCAACCAGTATTCAAATTGTCCTGATTGCCCTTAATTGTTTTACAGTTTGACTCATGATCCAATTAAAATCCACGCATCACAATTGGTTCAAAGTCTCCTATTTAAAAAAAATGTTTTGGTTCCCTCTCCTCACATTTTTCCCCTTGTGGTTTATTTGGTAAAGAAACCCAAAGTCTCCAGTTTTGCTGGTCATACCTCGAAGGGATAGTTTAACATGCTCCTGAGTCCTCTGAATGCCTCCGCATTTGTGGTTAAATCTAGGGCTTGTTCAGATTCAGACTGGACCTTCTGGCAAAGAGGCATTCTCTGTTAGTATTGGTGGCAGGTGTTGGTGATCATCGCCGAGAGCAATTAATTAGGTGCTGCAAAAAATTATGCATTCTTTTACTCCTTCACTGATCAGCTAGATCATTTCTTTAAAGAAAAATGTCCCCTCATCAATCATTTGCTTATGATGAGGTACAACTTGATTAGGAAAGGCTGGATAAATGAACTCTCCCTCTGGCTCCTTTTAGCAGGAAATTATATATTTGCCACAATCTGGGTGCAAGGTGTACCTACTTTTCATGGAATGATCATTGTTCCCAGATCTTTTCAGTGGATAGAATTAGGAAATAGATTCCACAAAGAGACTCCTGGGTGCCTCTGTCAGTTAAGCAACTGACTTTGGCTTGGGTTATGATCTCAAGGTTTTGTGAGTTGAAGCCCCATATCAGGGTTCGTGATGACAGCACAGAACCTGCTTGGGATTCTCTCTTTTTCCCTCTCTTTCTGCCCCTCCTCCACTCTCACTCTCTCAAAATACATAAACTTAAAAAAAAATAGATTCTAAACAGATACAAAACACAATGAATTCATATTTATACATTCATATTAAATTCAGGAGCACATTGAGGTGCCTGGGTGGCTTATTTGGTTAAGTGTCTGACTCCAGCTCAGGTCATGATCTCATAGTTCATGAGTTTGAGCCCCACATCGGCTCTGCACTGACAGCATGGAGACTGCTTGGGATTCTATGTCTTCCCCTTTCTCTGCCCCTCCTCCACTCGCTCTCTCTCAAAATAAATAAGTAAACTTAAAAAATTAAATTAAAAATTCAGGAGCACATTGTTTTTTACTTAACATTGTTTTGCAATCTTACATCTGTATCTCTCTCCTTTTTTCCCCCACAATGATACCACTATAATTACTGGTTTGCTTCATCTTATAATCCACATACAACAATCTCAAAATAATACCACCACCACCATCATCAACAATATGATTACTCAAAACAGGTTTTGTTTGTGTTTTTTGTGGGTTTGGTTGGGGGCGTACTTCTTTCTGTCTTTAGGATCTATCTGACTATGGATACACAATCAAATTACTCTGAAATAAAGCCCCTGGACATACCTGATTTCTGTGCATTATGCTGCCAACTCAATACACTTTTAGATCCATTTGTTTGGTAGCTTTCAATTTTTAGGGATTTTTTTTCTTTGTAAATTTAACTTTTAAATAATTGTATAAAAGTTTTAATTGGTTTCAAAATCAAATCCACCAAACAAGGTACAGTCCAGGAAGTCTAGCCTTCTACCTATTTTCTCAACCCTATTCTCTTTTTACCCCCCTATCGGTAACATTTCTCCCCCTTTTCTATGGTTTATAGTTCCATTTTTAAGAATAAAAGTTTATATATATCTATAGAAAAATATGTGTATGCATGTATATATATTCATATTTCTCCCCTTTATCGCCTAAATGGTATATTAACATTTCTTCACTTATACTTTCCACTGATCAATAGAATCCAAATATAACAATGCAGTACTAGTATATGGAAATCTTTACCGTTCCTTTCACTTTCTCTTAAATACCTCTCCATTTTGAAAATACCTCTCAATTTTGATAAGACACTTGGTTTGTTGCCAGTCTTTTGTTAATTGGTGCTGCAAGAGTAGCTTCCCTTGCGTATGTATCTTTTCCTATTTTTGCTTCACTGTCTTTAGAATAGACACCGAAAAGTGGGAAATCCAGGTCAGTGAATAAATGCATATGTAATTATGCTAGATATTGCCAAATTTCCCTCCATAGGAATTATGCCATTTTGCATTCCCACCAGCAGCCAGCGTATAAGAATTCCCATTTCCCCACAGCTTGGCCAAGAGGATATGTTGTCAGAGGAGAAATTGGGTGGCTCAGTCGGTTAAGTGTTGGACTTTGGCTCAGGTCATGATCTTACGGTTGGTGAGTTTGAGCCCTGCATCAGGCTCTGTGTCTCCCTTTCTCTGCCCCTTCCCTCTGTGTCTCTCTGTCTCTCAAAAATGAATAAACGTTAAAAAAATTTTTTTAATAAAAAAAGAATATGTTGTCAGATATTTTGGCTTTTGTCAACCTGCTGAGTGAGAGATATGGTATCTCAATGAGTTTTAATTGTAGGCAAGGTTGAGAACACTGTTAAAGGCTATTGGATTTCATTTTCTATAACTTGTCTATTCATTTCTCTAGTCCATGTTTCTATAGATTTGTGGTCCTTTTCTTCTTTAATTTAGAAACTATTTCTATATTAGGAAAAACATCCTTTTGTCTATAATTCTTCCCTAGGCTATTATACTTTGCTTATGGTATTTTTTGCCATGCAAACTTTTTTTATGTAGTCAGATTTATTCATCTCTTCTCATTGCTTCTGGATTTAAAATCTTGGGGAAGTTTTCTCATTGCACACATTACACAAGAATTCGCCCATATTTTCTTGTAGCAGTGGTGGAGCTCTATTTTTCACATCGAAGTCTCTGATCGACTGGAATTTACATGTACCATGTGAAGAATGGGTCTTACTTTATTTTTTTTCCACATGGCTATCCTTATCCTAAAACCACCTAATAAAATGCCTGTGAGATGCCTCCTTTATTCATGCACCTACGAGGCTGTTTTCTTTTCTTTTTTTTAATGTTTTATTTATTTCTAGGAGAGAGAGAGAGACAGCGTGAGCAAGGGAGGGTCAGAGAGAGAGGGAGTCACAGACTGAAACAGACTCCAGGCTCCAAGCTGGCAGTCAGCACAGAGCCCAACGCAGGGCTCGAACCCACGAACCGTGAGATCATGACCTAAGTGAAAGTCGGACGCTTAACCAACTACACCACCCAGGCGCCCCTATGAGGCTGTTTTCTTAGCAGACTCCTTCTCCTTTCCTCCCAGACTCTTGGGGTTCAGAGTCCTTTGGCTTCAGCCCTTTTTTGTTTTAGAGATTCAGGAAGTATGGAACTCCCTACCTCCGCCATCTAGCGAGACGCCTCCTTCATTATACACGAAGTTACCATATGCAATTGGATCTTTTGCTAGATTTTCTAGTCTGTTCCTTGGTCTGTGTGTCTATTTATTTGCCAATACCACATTGTTTTATTTATGGAGATTTTATAGCATTTTCCTGTTTTCCCCACTCCCATTGTTCTTTTTCAGAGGCTTCCTGACTATCCTTGCATTTTCTGTTCTTTTAAATAAACAAACCATTCTTTCTATAATTTATATGATTATACACTTTATAATCAACTTTACCTCCATGAGATCATCATGACCCCTGACAATCCAGCCAATTCCATTATCCTGTATCTTAGATGCCTCTTGGAGAAAAGGCAGCTAGGGGGCAGAAGGCGGAAACTGAGCATTTGTTCAAGAAATCAAATCATCCACAAGGGACGGACATGCTACTCTTTGGCAAGCTTAAAGCTCAGGCATACTTTCCTGTTACCCAGAAGGTGATGTCTCAAGTGAAAATTCAGATTGGTTATGGAGAAATAACAAAGATATATTTTGTTGGCATATCAGCACAGTGTGTGTGATATGTGCTCAGGAGGGTGATGCTGCTCTCTTCTCTCGATTTTCTTATTTTTCTCTACTTTTTTTAATTTTAGAGAGGAGGGAAGGGCAGGGAAAGAGAATCTTTTTTTTTTTTTATCTTTATTTTTTTTACAAATATTTTATTGTCAAATTAGTTTCCACATAACACTCAGTGCTCATCCCCAAAGTGCCCTCCTCCATGCCCACCCCCCCCTCCCCCCCACATCCATCAGTCCTCAGTTTTTGTCAGCATTCAAGAATCTCTCATGGTTTGCCTCTCTCCCTTTCCCCCACCATTTCCGCCCTTCTTCTCCCCCTTGTTCCTCCGTCAAGTTCCTCCTAATCCTCCTATACGTGCAAACATATGATATTTGTCCTTCTCTGCCTGACTTATTTCGCTCAGCATAACACCCTCAAGGTCCATCCATGTTGCTACACATGGCCAGATTTCATTGTTTCTCATTGCCATGTAGTATTCCATGGTATAGATAAACCACATCTTCTTGATCCATTCATCTGTTGATGGACACTTAGGCTGGGAAAGAGAATCTTAAACAGGCTTCATGCTCAGCGAGGACTCGACACAAGTCTCAATTCCATGACCCTGGGATCATGCCCTGAGCTGAAATCAAGAGCTGGATCATCAACTGACTGAGCCACTGAGGTGTCCCTTCTTATTTCTCTTACCAGCATACCCATTCTCATCTGGATGGATTCCTCAGGGTGATCTGCGTGCCTCCCGTCCCACTGGCCACCAAGGCCTGTAGTTTCTGCCTTTACAGAGTTTCCATGTTTCCTGAGATCAGCAGGACCTCAAGGCTCTTCACCATGTTGTCCCACTGGCTCCCAGCTGTAATTTTCAAAAGAGACACATTCTTTCCAGGGCCAGCTCTATGTATTCTTCTAACCAACTTTAACGAACAAAGTACACCAAACTCCTATCATGTTCACTATGCAGCATAAATGTTGATATTGTTCCTTGTATGATTTTAAAACAAGTCTCCAGACTGGAGCCAGTCACAATTAAAAATCCATTTTCTGTGGGCTGTGGATAGATCTGCCTTTAATAAATATCTGTACACATATTCAGATTAAAAACTAGCATGTTTTATCAAGGAACATTTTTAGAATCTAAACATACTATCAGATTCAACTTTTAGATGTACAGCAAGAGTAATAAGCAAACTGATCCACCAAAAGACATGTACAAGAATGTTCATAGCAGCTTTTGCCAGAAGAACTCCTAAGTGCAAACAACCTAAATGTCCATCCGCAAGAGAACGCACAAATAAATTGGGAAGGTTTTCCTTCAGTAGAATGCTACACAGCAATAAAGAGATCAGACCACTGCTAAATACATCAGTAAGGAGGCCTTGCAAATGTGAGCACGGTGGCAAAAGAGCAGACAATGTAAACAGAGTACATATTACATAGTTCATATTTCATAACATAGTCCATGTGTATGAAGTTCAAGACTAGTAAAACCAAGTTATGATGATAAAATTGGAATAATAGTTCTGAGAGGGAGTATTGCCTGGGAAGTGGTTCTGGGAAGTGAAAACTTTGGGGGTGGAAGGCGGCTGGAGATGTCTCTGTCTCCATCCGGGTGGTGGTTATCTGAGTGTACAGCTATGCAAAATTTCACTGAGTTGTATATTTAACATTTATACACTTTCCTTAATGTAGGTTATACTTTAATAAAAAATAATAATAAATCTTAAAGGAACTCCCCTCCCACATCCCCAAAGATAGCAAACTTTTCTAAAATCCCTTGGTCCTCAAATATCAGGTACAAGAAAAACCATGCTCTTACGCACCACCAGGAGTCACAGACCTGAGTGCATGCTATGTAATGGTGCTCCCTGGAGCACAAAATTGATAGAGAGTTTACATTACAGTCAAAATGGAATTTCTCAGCCTTTTGTTTTCCATTTGCCCCAATCACCACATGAGTGAGGGAAGCCTGGCTCAATTTATGAATCAGGAACATGATCAAGTGAGATTGGAACTCCCAGACAGGACAGTAGAAGTACTCATGGCAAGCACAGAGCCTGATTTAGAGGCAATGGCAAATTCCTTGAGGGTGGGGAGATCATCACCCTCTCCATGGTCCTGTCCTTTGAGCCATTAGTACTGTGCCTTTCCTGAACAGAGCAGAAAATCAGAATAAATTAATAAATGGATGGATGGATGGAACCTTATATCCTCAGTACAACAGTTTAATTATCATTCCTAAATGCATGTTTTCTTTGTGGTAAGTCCTTCTCAAGGCTACATGATTATAACAAGCCTCCTTCATCTCTTCCCCTTCAATTTATTGTGTCTTTGATGAAGTATAATTATATCTAACTGGTATTTTTCTCAGTGTTCTTCCTTGTTGAAATATGTCCTGTTCTCATGATTTGTGTCCCATGGTGAAGTTTCCAGCGATAAGAGCTGGCATATAATCTTACATTTTCTTTCCATGGGAATTGGCAATGTTAACAATTAGAGTCAAGTTAGCTTAAAATACACAAAATATGTGAATACTGGAATTTCTCACCAAAGGCTTAATGTGAAAATCAAACCGTCAAGCACTTCCACCAGAGAAGAGTAAATTTCTCATTAAGAGCCAGCCCTGTCAGCTTGGGACAAAGGCAAGGCAAGGCCCCTCCACCAAGGGAAGGGGTGGGGAATTTCTAAGTTGGTGAGGCGCACCTGGGGCTGCAGAAGGGCATTGTTTGGTCCAAGGCTGCTTCTGTGTCTCTAGAGTTTGGTGGAACAAGACTTTATGAAGACACCCTTCTGTTTCCTCTTAAATGCTGCTGATGTCCTTAGGCTACAGGTTGAGGAAGGAAGAAGATCCAAGGGTACCTTCTCTTTGCCATTTCTTAAACCATCTAGAACATTCTTTCCACTTTCCCTTACACCCATCCAGAGAACTGGACTCCTACTCTATGTTGGATTAGAACCAGAACTTAACCTCAGCACATGGACGTTTGGAGCGGGAAAATTCTTTGTTGCAGGGCTCTCCTGTGTTTAGTAGCATCCCTGACCTCTACCCATTAAATGCCAGGAGCACCCCTCTTCCCAGTGTGACAGCCAAAATGACTTCAGACATTGCCAAATGTCCAGTGGAGGACAGAATGGCCCCTGGTTGAGAACCACTGAATTAAACTGATCAGATATGAGCGTCAATACTCAAAACCCAAGGACCCAGCTACTGCTTGTCTCCGCCCCACATACAACCTCCAAAACTCCCCTCTCGATAAGCAGTTGAGAAGAGAATAGTAAAATATTGACTCCATGACTCAATGATAGCCACTGGGTGCAGTGTGGGCAGAAGCTATCAGACATAAGAAAAGAAGGTAACAAAATGCAAATTTTATGCTAATATTTTGGTGTCCAAGATATCTTCTGCCTGGAGGCAGGCCACAGAGAACTCACAAAGGATTGCAGAGTCGGTGAGATCAAGGAGTATGTTCAGCAAATCTTCTGAATCAGATCTAAGAGCTATAACATCTCCTTTGTGGTTACTATTTTATAAAAAGAATGAGGAACCTGGGAGTTCCCTAGTTAAATGTTTTCTGTGATTCAATTCTTGGGTCTCAAAGATGAGTTGGTGTTTCTGCAGTGCCTGTATAGCCAAAGAACCATAGTGGGGTGTGGTGGCAGTGGGTGAGGGAGATGCAGGCTGGGAGATGGCCCCTAGTCCTATATCGATTGCACACTTCTTTGGCCCATTATGACATACTTTCACTACTGCTTTGTATCTGTGAGTCTCATTTTGCCACACTTGCCACTGTGTGGTGACTTGATTTTGTCTGACACCATATCCTTTCTACTTCTCGTGACGGACCATACCTATACCTAAGTTCCTTAGCTACAGAGGGAACACAGAATCCAGGTGGAGTTCATCAGAATACTTCATCTCTGGCCACAGTGACTAGTAACCAAGATTCTTTCTTGAGATTTTTTTTTCCATTGAGGCATTGTGTCTGCACATGTGTACCACATCCTTAGAAAAAGAATCCAAGGATTTTCCCTCCTGTGCATTCTTGTCCTGTCTCCCCATGATCCATGATGCCAAGTAAGGCCACCAGCACAATGAAACCAAACTGGTAGAGATGGGAGCAGATCACTCTGCCACCTCTCTAGATCTCTGAACAGTATATCAAATCCGGGGCCATCACTCCATAGCTGTTTAACCTGCTTGGGAGATTCACAATGATTTTCCTAGCCCTGCGATCATCAATGATTTCAAATTTGCCAATGTAACCATGCTTCAACATCACAGCTAGAAACTTGACAATGACCTTGGAGTGTGGCCCTATAACAACCTGGCCTTTGCCTCTCCCTTCAGTACTGTCAGTGCTGTTGAGATCAGCCACCAGGACATTCATGAGCCCCATTATGGCAACACAGAAAGACGGAAGAAAGAGCTTTCTTGACATTTTCAAATTGGTTGTAAAGCTCCCTTACCTCTGTGGTCAGGAACTAGGAACTACGTGCTGCTGGATGTACCAGGTGTCATGTGGAAAAACCCATCTACACCAAGAGATACTAGAGCAATACCTAGAGGGAGGGAGCCCTGGTGACTTTAGGTCCCTAGTTCTGGTCGTCATGGTGCTCAGAGTCCAGGTTCCCAGCCTTCCTGAGCCTGTATATTTACATCCTCATTTGACTGCATAAACTCCCCTAGAATGACTCTATTAAGTGCCCCTCCAGCTTTTTATTCTAAACAAATGTGATTTGGAGGCTTGTCCATTGTAACAAGAAAGTGCTGGCAACTACAGACTGTAAACTTCGTTAAAGGCAGGATTCTGTCTTACCATTTTTATGTATTACTTATACACAAATGATGACCGTAAACCAGTTTTCGAAAGGTTCTTTTTGATTCATTCTGAACACTGAAGTCTGAATAGCAGCAATACTTAAACATTGTCAGGTAAGCCAGACATTTTCCTGCTTTACTCTCTGTAAACCCACATGCCTTTATCATGACTGAGGGGACTGGGCTGACATAAACAGTGTTCACATTTAAGGATGACCTGTCTGGACATGACCCCCTGCTCATCTCCGAGGTGATTTGGCTGTTATCCCTGGAACGCGGTGTCTTTCCTTCCTTCATGAGTGTCACTTTGGAGGCTGTTTAGTCTAAGAGGATAATCTTGTAAGCATGGAAGACTGATTGTTCTGTCATGACTATATTTGTCTAGAGCTACTTGCTAGAGCCTATATTCAATGGATAATATTATCTTTTTAACACCTATATTGGTACTTAACTACCAGTGCATAAATATATATATTTAATATTATTATGTATAGTATATAAACATATATATACTTATGTCAGTAGAGAGCATACGGAAATTGAGAATTCATTCCATGAGCCTCAAATTCCAATTATTTGAATGTTTCTTATATCATTCCTGGGGGCCAACAAACATGGGGTGTGTGGGAGGAGGTCTCTCTGGTCTGGTCTCCTCATCTGTTGAAGGCCACTGATGTGGCTCCTCCAGGCAGACCCTTTCCTCCAATGTTGTGATCTTTACCTCTAGATCTGAAGGGACAAAAATCTCGACATTCTCAGTCTCATTCTCAGTGGTCATTTGGGCCCTCTGCGTACTTCCAAAATCCACAACTCACAAAAAATAAAAAAAATATATTAAGCATGAGGAGGAAGAATAACCTCAATTTTAATTTCTGTGGGCCGCCATCTTTGTTTTTCTGATATGTACATCTTTCTTCTTGCTCAATGCAAAGGGCAAGCAATTCTAATATCTGTGCCTCGTTCAGATTATAGTTATATATCATATATTATAATTCTATATTATATATTATAGTTAATAAATAACTATATGACTGTATAATTATATAACTATAATCTGGACCTCATTCAGATTGGTTATAGTTCATATAACCACATGATAAATTGTTGTCAACAGTTGCAAGGAAAAAAAGTAACGCCTTGGGTTCCCATATTATCATGCCTTATTACTCCTTTTTTTTTTTTAATGTTTTATTTATTTCTGAGAGAGAGAGAGAGAGAGACAGCATGAACAAGGGAGAGTCAGAGAGAGAGGGAGACACAAAATCTGAAGCAGGCTCCAGGCTCTGAGCT